GTGCGCTCGCCAGACAGACAGAGAGAGAGAAAGCGAGAAATCACCCACCGGGGGGATGGCCCCTTAATACAGGTTCTTGAAGTAATAAAAAAATAGGAATTAGGGACTTGAATCTGTCTTATTTTTTAAACATTGTCATTTATCTCTCTTTTTTTTTTTGGTATGACTTTTTTCTTTCTTTCTCTTTTTTCTTTCTTCTGGTTTTTCTTTTTCTTCTTTCTTTCTTTTAGAGTGAGTTTTGCTATATAATGTGTATACCCACAAGAAAGAGAGATAAAGAGACACAAAGTGAGGAATCACCCTCCAGGAGAATGGCCACACCACAATTCCTTCTCCTCTATTTTCCTCTCAGGATCTTGGGCATGCACACTTACACACCTGGCATGAGCTTTAAGGTGCTTGGTTTGGGACTCGAACCACAGTCTACTATGTGTAAGTCTAGCAACAACCATTATGCTATTTGCTGGTTCCTTTATTACACAATATTCTTATTTACAGTGAATCATAGTATATCTTGATAGCACACAACATGGTTTTTCTGAATATGCATATAGTGTGGGTCAAACAAGTCAAAGACATTACCATATATGTCATCCTCAATAGATAACGTTTCATTCTTGTGCTTATTAATTGTTTTTCCCTGAGACCCTCCCATCCACTCAACTGGCATGTTTTCTAAGCTTCCAGGTCCAGCACTCAAAGTGCACAAATGGCTATATGGGACCTAGCCTCCTTGATCACCACACCACCAGCTGGCCCATTTTGGAGGACTCTTCTCTCCCAGCTCCTGCCTCCCCTGATTGGTTGCATGTCTAGGATTAGGAGGTGAGAAAATGGGGCTTGGAAAGGATTTATATTACATGATGTGACAAAAAGAAAAAAAAAAAAACTTGGGGATGTAAGTATTTTGAAATTAAGAAATATTCTGAACTATTGGTGACCCCTAAACTCAAACAGCTTATTTTATAAGAAAAAGGTGCAGGAAGATTTGAATGGAAAGAGAAGAGAATGTATCATAGAAGCAGAGGTTGGAGTGATGTGGCCATGAAAGGAGCACCGTCCTTAGCCACAGGAAGCTGAGAGCAGTCTCTGACTCTCCACTAGAGCCTCTAGAGGGAGTTAGCCCTGCTAGCAGATGCATTTATAGACAATAACACAATTTTGACCCCCTACCTCCAGACCTGTGAGAGAACAAGTTGCGTAGGATACCAGGTTGTGGTGATTTATTCTAGCAGCCAGAGGACATTAATCCAGAAGCCTATTATGTCCTGATGTTTTCTGAGTAGGTGTCTGTGGGAGATGAGTTCATCAGCCAGATAGGTCTCACAGAAGGAAGAGTAGAATGGATCCAGGGAGTGTGTTTCCTCGTACATTTTGCTTGTGAGCTGACTGTGGAGTGCTTGGATGGAGGTGTCCAGTTGGTAGCTCAATGCTTATTTCTGGAGCTCTTGGAGATGAGCATTAGACTAAGGTTGGGGGGTGGTATGGACACTGATGAGCCCTCTGAGTATGTGGAGAAAAGAAAGAGTTAATCAAAGGTTGAATCCTGGAGATGCACTAAGAATTGAGTAATAGATGGAAAATAAAGTGTCCTGGACATGACATGGGAGTCAAAGTACAGTGGAGATCAGAGGACCGAGCAGGTCGACGGCGGTTCCATGAGAACATCACACAAGTGCTGCTGTGAGGTGTGAACCACATGACAAGCCAGCCAGTGAGTCTGGGGGGTTCCTATGAGTCTGGGGGTTTCCTAAATACATAAATTTTTGGGATCCCAGACACTTTGGCCTCCAGTAACAGAGGCTATTTAGTCTCTGGAAGTTACTGTGACAATATAGAAATGCACTTTAGTATTAAAACTGCCCTTAACTCAAGCACTGAGACTTAGATGCAAACAAGACACATGGAGAAGTGCAGGGCAAGTAATTTATTAAAGCAAGACGTTGAAACCTTTACAGTTTGCATTGAAAATCAGGTATCATTGGAGGACAGTGGAAACAGAATATAATATCTTTTGCAACTAGAGACACTTAGGAAGCATTTGCACCTGTAATAAAAAAATAAAAGAAAACTGGAGTCAGTCATGGTGCTCCCGGAGGGACAAGATAACACAAGAGACAAGCCAAGAGGTCCTTTTAAAGATTTGGTTTTCTGATGAATACAGAATGTAGGTATTCCAGGTCCCCATGGACTGTAGGAAATAATGTAGCACAGGGCTCTACGCTTTGGCAATGGTAATGGAGTTGTAAGTCAGGAAAGAAACATGGGGCAAAGGAGCTGGGAGTGGGCTCCTGGCATTGCAGAGGCTGCCAGAGACACCCCAGACAACAGGGCTGCATCTGACAGAGGCCAGCTCCAGTCCTCCCCCTCTGTCTCCTGTTCAACAGCCCCAAGACTCCCATGAGATTCCTTAGGGCTTGTGTTGACTGAGTGAGTGGACCTCACCCTCAGCAAAGCTCTGAGGTAACAAAAAGCAAGACTTGGTCCTTCAACGTGCCTGCAAGGGGCCCCAGATATCCTTCCACGAAGGACACTGGGAAATATGGCATCCCAACGGGGTGACCTGATAGGAGAAACATGCCCAGGAAGCTATGAGTAGGTGAGTTCAATTTAGCAGGTATCCTGGTATCTTCCACCCTGTGGCTCAAGTCACCTGATCAAAGGTGAGCAGTAAGGCACTTGAGACCCCATGGAACAGCCAGCTGACCTCACCCCTGGCTGTGGAGCTGACCAGAAGACTCTATGCATAAAGGAGAGAGAAATTACCACTATTTCTTTAATTATTTGTATGTCTTTTTTGGACATCTGATCTGTGCATTTCTTCACTTGCAACTTTGCCTTAGCAGCATCTGATGGTGCAGGAAATACTTTAAGTGTCTTCTCAAACATCTCCATAGGCATGGTTAAGAAGTTTTCTATATCAACAGCAAGGGCTGGACAGACCAGTGCATTGGCTGGAAGATAAAAATAAAAGTACAATTTAGGTAACAAAAGTCATTTCCCCCATGGCTCCCTGATGCTCCACTAGTCAGTACCACCAAGGTTTTATGCTCCCATTGCATATGTGTGCTAATGACGATGTAAGACTCTCAAAGTCAAGACTTCTGCCAGATCACAAAGCAAAGGGCAGAGCTAGGTCTGGAAAACTGTTTTCTTGACACTCATTCTGTTTTTGCTTTTTGTAAAAGCACACAGCACTGCTCTCTAAAACTCTGATTTACAGAAATTTACTTTTCTTGGATTTGAAATAATTAACTATTGATAGATAACAGATAACAGAGTAACATTTTATTCAACACAGATACTGACAAAGAGGAGGTTTGGGTATTTTACTTTCAATGTCAATGGTAGTGTCAGAATCTTACCAGAGATCAGAAAAGTGAGAGTAAACCTGGAGAAGAGCAAATGAAATGGTTAAAAAAGTTGAAGGACTATGTTTTGAATCCAAGTTGGAGAAACTGGGGCTATGCATAGAAGCAGATAGAGCTAAAAAGTACACAGAAAAAGCAAATTAGTTTTAACCAAAATTAGGAGCTTTTGAGGAACTGTGGGAAATTGGGATTGGCTCTTGCTCTGTAGTAATGCTCAGCATCTCTAGAAAGGTCCAACGGACCTAGAAAGGTCCAAAAGTGGAAACCAGGGCTCGTTCCTGCCACTGCTGGCAATTTTGGTGTGACCTGGATTCCTATCACTTTCTCTGGTCTGGATTTCCCACTCCCCCAAGTCTTTCACAAACAACCTACACCTCAGAAGTGCCCTGCCAGCTTGACCCATAATCAGTTGACATCAAACTATGAGGAGAATTTGGACCTGGAGAAGAGCAAATGAAATGGTTAAAAAAGTTGAAGGACTATGTTTTGAATCCAAGTTGGAGAAACTGGGGCTATGCATAGAAGCAGATAGAGCTAAAAAGTACACAGAAAAAGCAAATTAGTTTTAACCAAAATTAGGAGCTTTTGAGGAACTGTGGGAAATTGGGATTGGCTCTTGCTCTGCAGTAATTTTCAGCATCCCCAGAAAGGTCCAAAAGCGGGAACCAGGGCTCGTTCCTGCCACTGCTGGCAAGTTTGGTGCGACCTGGATTCCTATCACTTTCTCTGGTCTGGATTTCCCACTCCCCCAAGTCTTTCATAACCAATCTGTACCTCAGAAGTGCCCTTCCAGGTCCCAATGTGACCCCTGAGCAGTTGACATCAAACTATGAGGAGAATTTGGAGAGAGAGATTCAAGCAATTCACAGAAAGAGAAGGTTCAGAAGTATGAGGTATGAGTTAAAAGATCTCACAGAGGTCAGATCAGTCCCAAGGATGGTTGTGAAACATGTAAAATATTGTTAAAGAATGCCAATTTTGATGCTACCTGGATTCCTATCACTTTCTCTGGTCTGGATTCCCCACTGCCCGAAGTTTTTCACAACCAACCTGCACCTCAGAAGTGCCCTGCCAGATCATGATGTGACCCCTGATCAGTTGACATCGAACTATGAGGAGAATTTGGAGAGAGAGATTCAGGCAATTCAGGGCAAGAGGAGGTCCAGAAAGTAAGAGTTAAAAGGACTCACAGAGGTCAGATCAATCCCAAGGATGGGCGTGAAACCTGCAAAATATTATTAAAGAATGGGTAGAATTAATTCTAGAAAAACAGATGCCATAGTGATAGTTATTTCAGTAGTTCTGCTATGATTTCCAGAACTACCTCTAGAAAACTGGTATGGAGAGCACTGGTGGATACCTTGAGCGCTGCTTATTCTCAGAGCCCAGGTGCTTGTTTCTTAAGAGATTCTGAGAGCACTGGCTCATTCTGAACTGAAAGCTCTCCAAAGACCCTTCTAGTTATATCATTTTATGAGACTGAACTTAAAAAGCCTTGAGCTCAATTCACACTGGAGACTCTGGGGAGGAGAATTTCTAATTATTAGACATTTGCTGATACCTGGAGCTCAAGTGAGGACATACAAAATCTTGCTCCACTCTCATAGCACTCTTGGTGGTAATAGTAAGCACCAATGATAAGAGTAGGCTTGGCAAGTGTAAGGATTTTTGTTTAAGCAAAGGACTGGTAATTGGCAGATCGCAGGTTCACAGCCAGTAACTCTGCTTCAGCTGAAACACAGGTTACAGCCAAGGAGTGAAGTTCCATCAACAGTTCCCCAAATTTGCCTGTAATAATTTTTCTTCTTTTACAAACGTTCTTAGGTACTGGGAAATTAATGAAAACATCCTTGAGCTTTTTGGGGTGGGTGGGTAGGGTGGAAGAGAAAGAAGTTCATAAACACAGGAAAAGGCTTAAATTTTGGCCTGTTCTGACCCTACACCATGCAAATAGGTTTCTCTGGTGTTCCCAAAAGGGCCCTTATCAGGGCTGGTGTTGGGCTGATGACAAATAATACTCACCCTGGTAGCAGCAAAGGGCCAGAGTGACCAGCAGGACAGACACCCACAGCCTCATGGTGGTTAATTTTGCTTTCAGCTTTAGTGAACAATGAGCAGTTTAGACTCGACCACAGGAGCCTGTGCAGCCAGTGGAGCCCAGGGCTATTTGTACCTGGTGAGCCTCACTGGTCCTGCCCACTTAGGCTGTGGCAGGTCACAAGGCCTGGCTTCCAACCCAGCCCCCTCATCAAGGCTGGGGCTGTTCTTCCTTGTCACATGTCTGCCCCTCCCTCCAAGGAGCAGTACACAGATGAGCAGCCCCACAGGAAATCTGCTCTTCCCTCCAGATGAGTGTTTAGCTGTCAGTGGAAATAATTCTTGGAGCCTCCACCTCAGCCAGCTCATTACCTTCTCAGCATTGAGGTTTTTGTTTTGTTTTGTCTTATTCTAAGTTTCTTGAAGAGGGAGAGATACCCCTGGTGGAGTCATGCTGTGCTGTGATCCTCCCTCCAATCTTCTAGCCAGCCAGGAATCATGGGTGTACTAGTGTTCCGGGCAATCCAAGATTTGAACCCAGGTTTTTCAATAGGTTCAGTATCACACAGTGCCACCCTACTATCTAAGCCACAACGGCTGGGCTGGAGCTTTTGGTTATTATATCTGTTCTTTGTGTTAGTGCAGAGCTACAAGAAAGTTTTATTTTTCATTATTATTTTTATTATTATTTCAATTTTTTTGCATTCTTTTTTTATTTACTTATTTATTTTTTATATACATTCAATTACATTGTTTAGTTTATGAAGCAAACATTTCAATATGTGAACATTTCTCCCCAGTCCAGTTGATGGAATTATCTTCAACAGATAACACCACGCCTCCTCATCCCATCAATGCTCTTCCTCTGTATCCCTCCTCCAGTTGTCTTTCCC